CTCTCATAGCGTAACAAACTACACACAATGTAGTACAGGGAACGAGGTGGATATTCCTTATTTTTAATTCCAACACAAATCGCTGCATCCAGTAATTTAGAGAATCGCTGTTCATCTCGGTCAGAAGTGGACATTTTCCCGTGCTGCACGGATATTTTTTGAGAGTCTATCAAACGCTGAATTTCATAATCGGACACTTGTACAAACCTTTCATTTTTCGTCTTCGTGTCGACCTCAGGACTGGTGAAATAAGCGCACTCAACTCAGTCTCCATCGTGTCTAAAATATCTCCTATATCGAAATCCATAAAAGGTTCAATTTTTAGTTCCGGTAGATCAAACGCCATTCTTCCCAAAGAATCTTCAACCTGCAGCTGGTTTCCTAACTGATCTAAGGAATTTTCCTTCATAATTTCGGTTTCCGTATCTATAAGAATTGCGAAAGCATAAAATCACAACCGTCATCCATGGCGTTCAGAATATGAATGGACGAGGTAGAAAGTTCAAGAAATACAGCGCGCTTTACTTTTCGAATCACATGCTCTTTTTTCATTGGTTATATAAAATGGTATGTTGAAATTTTGATAGATCATGGTTAATTCAGTGCATGAGAATATGTAGTTGAATTAAGTGCTATTAACGTGAATTTCATAGATCATAGGTAGCTCAATACCTGAGAACAATATTAATGATACAAAACATATAGAGTACCTTTTAACTCGTGCATCTTCAGATATCAGACTCGGGGGACAAGCCCCCTCGTCTGATATCTGAAGATACACTCGTTAAAAGGTACTCTATATATTACTTTTTGCATTTCTTATCCCTTTAAATATCCTTCCCCCGTCTTCCGACCTTGACATTGAGATATTGTGACAAAAGTAACAAGTTAGATTGATTAACATACACAAATTGTTAAAACTTTAAATTGCCATTGCCAAAGGTATATATACACAATAAATCCTGTATTTTTTAGTTTAGTTCCCTAAAATTGTAAATGTCAAATATTGAACTATATTGATGCGCTAAGTAATATATAGAGTACCTTTTAACGAGTGTATCTTCAGATATCAGACGAGGGGGATCAAACGTCATACTTCCCAAAGAATCTTCATTATTAATGTTATTCAACTATATTCTCATGCACTGAATTAGCCATGATCTATCAAAATTTCATCATACCATTTTATATAACCAGTGAAAAAAGAGCACGTGATTCGAAAAGTAAAGCGCGCTGTATTTCTTGAACTTTCTACCTCGTCCATTCATATCTTGAACGCCATGGATGACGGTTGTGATTTTTTGCTTGCGCAATTCTTATAGACACGGAAACCGGAATTATGAAGGAATATTCCTTAGATCAGTTAGGAAACCAGATGCAGGTTGAAGATTCTTTGGGAAGTATGACGTTTGATCTACCGTAGCTAAAAATTGAACATGTTATGCATTCCGATATAGGAGCTATTTTAGCCATGGTGGCGTTCATTTTACCAGTCCCGAGGTCGACAGTCGACACGAAGGCGAAAAAATGAAAGGTTTGTACAAGTGTCCGATCATGAAATTCAGCGTTTGAGAGACTCTAGAAAATATCAACAGTCGTAAATATACCAAATGGCAATTTAAACGTTCAGGTTAATCAAGGAGTAGCGTGCGGCACGGGAAAATGTCCACTTCTGACCGTGATGAACAGCGATTCTCTATATAAATTACTGGATGCAGCGATTTGTGTTGGAATAAGAAAACAAGGAATATCCACCTCGCTCTCTGTACTGCATTGTGTGTGGTTTGTTACGCTTCAAGTTTATGAGAGACGAAAACGTTCATTTATAAATAAAAATGTGCGTGTGTGAATTCCATTTTGGATTTAAAAATTGACGTGCAAAATTTAGAATGTTTTATGTAGACCTAAGGAAAGGTATACCTTCACTATGTTTATATGTGTTTGTATTTTGCTTATAAAGTCAGATATACTTTGTTTATATTCTTTTTCTTTATCAATGTAAGGTCAAGGGTCATCGGAATTGTTGCATCATTACCCTGGCGTGTTCTATCTTGATAGAGCATGGTTGTTAGAGCACAGTTAGTCATGGTATATCAAAAATAAAAACATAGTGGACATCAAAGGAAAAACACCGCAGCAATGATACAATTATCTGTACGTGACTGTTATGCTGTTACACGCGTCATAAAAGAAACTCGATCATTTAGTTGTATTTTGATCAAATCAATGAAGTTTCTAGTTGGTTTTAAACGTCCTTTTTGTAATGTCCACCGTCATGATGAAAGATAAATAGATTGCAGATTTCCCTTAATGTACATATTATTCTACTACAGAAAAATCACTACGATCAATCATCAAGTATCTGAAGAGTTACATTTCCTTCTACGTGTAGAAATATACAGGTAAATTGAAGAATTTAACGTCTGACGACACGTTGCCCGAATATCTGTATCTCTTCAAAATGTACCATAAATTAATAATATATATAATCATCAGTATTTTGTGATTTTTAAACTATTTTCAAAATGTCTAAATAGATAAAGACACAAAAAAATTTTGATATTGGCAATGCTAGTGATTTCCAATAGGATTATAAGTAAATAACACCCTCTGGTATCTTGCACAAATGCCTGGTAAGGTACCTTAATTTTTTGTGAGGAAACTTGTTAAGTAGCAATACTTCTATGATAAATTCTTGGAAAAAAATATATATCATTGAGGAACGTGTCGTCTGCCCTTTACACCTGTGTTTTATCTAAAGACATTTTTATCATATAGTCTTGTAAAATGCTTAAAAATATTCAATAAAAAAAATAAAATATTTGTCAAGCAAGACTTTTTTTTTTTATTTTTCAATTTTGTGTTGTGTTGGATCGATTGTTTCATTGACACATTTATTTTACTTACAATGTATGATATATAACAAGCTAATTTAGAGAATTTTTGTCCCCCACTTAAGGAAAAAAAGAAGACAGTGGGAGAACTGGAAAATGTATTTATTACCTATAAAATTTCAGTGCAAAAGCTCAGACTTTAAAATATCGCCCGAAAACAAAAGTGTTACACACAAACAGTGTATATAAATTTATAACCTTGACCTCTGACCTTTTGACCTCAAATTATCATAAGGGGTCTTCTTTAGGCCATACGGAGTTGTGGTATAAAATTTCATTGCAAAAGCTCAAAGGCTTCTTGAAATATTGTCTGGAAACAAAAGTTTTACACAAAATCGGAATGTATGATTTATAACCTTGACCTTTTGACCTCAAAATCAAAAGGGGTCTTCTTTTGGCGATAGGGAGTTGTGGTATAAAATTTCACAGTAAAATCTCAAAGGCTTCATGAGATATTGTCTGGATACGAAAGTGTTAAACACAGACTGAATGACAGTCAGACAAAGGACGGACAGAATCAGGATAATATTCCCCACTCTCAGTGAAAGCGGGGGATAATTAAAAATGATTGAACAGATTTTTCACTGTAATAGGTTGTCTTTACAATGAGTGCAGTTGCGTGCCTGGAGTTATAAATGCCTTGCTAGGTACTGATTCATACAGGGTTGTAATAGAGCAATATTTAAATATATCATGAGTAATTGCATGTTGCAATGCTGTTTTTGAGATTTCCCTGTATATTCGATATGAATATATGATCCCTTATTGTGGCACACTTAATCCCTGGGCCACGAATTGAATAAATGTAATGGGCAATGTGGGGATACATGCATAATTATACATACATTGTAATTTATTTCATGGCTTTGCTGTCCTTGGAAGACCATTTAAAAATGTTAATTTATATAACTTTGTACAACTTTATTCCCCTACTGTATCCCCACCATACCCCCAAGGACCATTATTTGTACAAATGAACATGCACTACCTGATAATACTTATATATTAATATGTCTAGTCATGGCCCTGTTGAGTTTTAAAGTTTTGTCAAACATATTCCCGTGTAAAATGTGATACCCTTCTGAGGATGCTTACATATATTAATATGACTTATCGTAAAAAAAAAATTATTGTCCTTTGGTGGAAGATTTTTCTTATTATATATATTCCCATATTAAACTTGATCCCCTATTGTGGTGTGGTCCAACCGTATGGAAAAGGGCAATGATTTAAACATTTTTAATCCATTCAATGTCAGGAATCCTTCATGTAAGTTTCGTTTTTTTTTCAGGACCAATGGTTCCTGGGCAGATTTTTTAAAATGACGCAAGCTTATGTTTGGTTTTTTTTATTACCTCCCCTTGTTAGGAAGCTTGGGCCTTCATTTAAGGAAGCTCTAAACATTTTTTTTATTACTCTGAGAAATTTCTATCAAATAAAATGGTGTACTGTTGATTTTTTCTAGTTTATTTTAAACATAAAGTACCTATTATATTTCTCCAGGAAAAATGTTCAAAGGTAATAAAGTATTTATGTACTTAAATATCGTTTTTTAAATTTACATTAAAAAACGGAAAAAAAGTGTTCTGACATTTATTTTATCTTGGTCTAATATAATGCTAAGAAGACTTAAATCTATTTCCAATTGTGTGTCAAGGGACCTGATCCCACCTCTGATGTTTTAGAGGTTCGTGTTTGCTCTGCTCCATAATTTGTATTGTTAAATGGACTTTTGAGCTTGAATACTGTTCTTTATCTCCATATATTTCATTACTGTAGATTTCCGTTTATTCCATATTACATCAAAGGGCAGATCACTTTATCTGCACAAAACTATCATCAAATTAGAACTCCTCAGTGAGCTGTGATTAGAGCTTCCTTAAAAATTTTAATTTCCTTTATCCAAGAATTCATTGGTTAAAATTGACACAGTGGTTTTTGAAAAGAAGTAAAAAATTTAAAGACAGACAGATAAGGAGACAGACGGACGGACGACAGAAAACATCAATCAGAAAAGTTGACTTGGGTCTTTAGCTCATGTGAGTTGAAAAGACTTAAAAATAAATGGTATTCCACAAATAGAATTAATTTGTGAGTATAGCTTTATTAAGTACAGCGTAAAATCACAAAATTATCAAAGAAATTAATTTACAATGCTTTTCGATAGAGCAAACGCAAAATTAATATAGGATTCATTTTCGAGAATGGATAGTTCAATAACTTTATCAAAAGATTCCATAATTTTTTTAAATCAAAGTTATTAATATATTTTAATTACAAATAGCATATTTCTGAAGATATTTAGATTAGAAATCAATGTCTCACAATGCTAACTCTCTTTTCACAACCTTGCTGCACCTCTATCAGGCAATTCAATAAAATCTATCATTTCCCAACCAATCCACTTGCAAGAGAATCCATCACCCGTTTTCCAACCAATCCACTTGCAAGAGTATCCAGTCTTCTTTTCCCAACCAATCCACTAGCAAGAGAATCCATCACCCGTTTTCCCACCAAACCACTTGCTAGAGAATCCATGGTTCTTTTCCCCACGAGCCCGCTAGCCAAAGAATCCATCATACGCTTTCCAACCAAACCGCTTGCAAGTGAGTCAAGCATGCGTTTCTGGGCAGCAAGACTACTGACATGTGTTCCCAATTGACGCTTTCCAACTAACCCACTTGCAATGGAATCAAGATGGCGTTTTCCAATAAGACCACTTGCTATGGAATCAAGTCGTCTTTTTCCAACAAGACCACTTGCAATGGTATCTAAACGACGCTTTCCGACGAGTCCACTCGCAATCGAATCTAGGTGCCGCTTACCGACTAATCCACTAGCAATCGAGTCCAGGCGCCGTTTGCCCACAAGACCACTTGCTATAGAGTCCAGATGCCGTTTGCCTACTAAGCCACTTGCAATTGAGTCCAGACGGCGTTTTCCAACCAAACTACTTCCGACTGAGTCCACCCGTCGTTTACCAATAAGTCCTGATGCTAGTCTATCAAAGGAGCGTTTGTCCACTTGCGTTCTGTCTTCATCCCGAAATGAATGTGCGATAGAGTTTTCGTTATATTCGAAATCTGCCTGACAAGCTATATATGCAAAATTCCACGTACCAAACATTATTCTGTTAATAGAACACAGGAGAAATTAAATGTGGAAAAACCAAAATACTACAAATTTTAACAAATTTTACTTCGTGAACTTGAATAAAATAATACCAACTTACATTGTCACAAAAACCTTTTGTTGCTTTTTTGCCACCATCTCGAGAAAAATCTAATTAATATGTCTTTGCAGTCTTGATCAGTAAATCTTTTCCTTTTTGGCGACCCTTTATTATGTTGAAATCAAAATACTGACATCATAGCCTAGAAAATAAAAAAAAGTGAACATGATAATATATATACATTTTTTTCATATAAATGAAAAAATGAAATTGGGAAAAACATACCTTTTAGAGCGAAATTCTCTTACGTACTGACATTTGCGTTTGAAAGAAAATATTTAATACTTTGAGTAAACTAATTATCACTTGTGTTCGTCACTATATGTTCGTGCTTGGAAGATAATTTGGTGAGGGTTGGTTAATAAAGTCGGAAAGCTATCAACTTCACTAGTTTTTATACAGTCTTTCAGAAGATTTAAAAATCTGCAGAATTTTCGCATACTACAATATGTACATGTATTTTGTGAAGGTGTTGTCTCTGAAATATTTCCTTAAAAGGCGTTTACTTATAGATAAAACATATATATAATAATTCTTTGGGATTTGGATCGCAAACACAATACCTCTCTTAAAATATCATTTTTTTTGTTCTTTCTAGGTTTGTTGTCTTAATAAATTACTATTAGTAGTTCTATTTACAGTTCTCTCTCTCTCTCTCTCTCTCTCTCTCTCTCTCTCTCTCTCTCTCTCTCTCTCTCTCTCGGTCTTGTTTTTCTTTTCACTCCCAGACTGTTCTATCCTTTTGCTTTGTGATCCCCTTTAGCGAAGGAGAGGGGGACATTAAATCTCATTCGTCTGTCGGTCTTTCAGTCTGTCAAAAAAATTTAAACCTAGTCATAACTTTTAAATAAGAAAAGATAGGGCTTTCATACGCCATATGTACATTACCCGTGATAAGACCTTTCCAAATATACTATGATTTTTTAACTTGACCATGAAGTTTGACCTACTTTTCGAATATTTTACAACTTTTGAATGAGAGAAATTTATAGTGTTCATGTTTGACTTGTGCATTACATGTGACAAGACGTTCTATGATTTCTGACCTCGTGGCCTTCGCGTTCAAGTTTGATCTTATTTTGAAAAATTTTAACATTACTAATAACTTCTGAATGAGAGAAGAAATGGCGGTCATATTTGACATGTGCATTACCTGTAACTAGGCTAGGACAGTTTTTTTTTTTACTAAACATATGTAAAATTACAATTAAATGTTTGTTTGACTTGTGTTCTTTTTTTGTTCTTTAAAATCTTTTTTTTTTTTAATTTGACGCACATATTGTTGAATCATCTAAACCAATGAAGCACTTCGAAATGCTTGACTACCAGCAATTCTACTGCTATTCAAGATTTTAACTTTTACGTTCATATACTAAACAGATTCTCTTGTTTTAGCGGATTTAAGTCTTGAACTACATAATGATCACATATACACATCACGGTGATGTTCGTATATTTATTTGTTTTCAATAATTGTGCTCCTCCTGTTCTTGAAAATGCAATTAAAAATGTTCTCAGTATAACGACATGTAAAATATCAACACATTATTTGGGTCCTGCATGTATCTACACCCCACACCCAGGGACCACAGCTTGAATATTGTTTCATCTTCACTACAAAACTATTTTTATCATCATTTGACTATCTTTTGCCCTCTTGTTTTCCAGAAAATTTTCCAAGATTGTTTATATCTTCCCGTGTACCGTAAACATCAGTTACAGCCTAGGGAACCTTAAACATCAGTTACAGCCTAGGGAACCTTAAATATCAGTTACAGCCTAGAGAACCTTAAAAATCAGTTACAGCCTAGGGAACCTTAAACATCAGTTACAGCCTAGATAACCTTAAACATCAGATACAGCATAGGGACTATCATTTGAAGATGTTGAATATGCATTGAATGAGAATATTTTGCATATTTTTTACAATCTGATGCTCGACTCTTCTTGAGAGGGGGTTAAAGATATTTTCCCTTTATATTTCCATTACTCTTTTGCACTCCCATTCTGTCTCGGTACTATTCATGGATACAATATGTTGTCAGCATATTTAGAAATTAACATAGAATAATGGTGCTTACTATCAACTTAATAGTCAGAGCAACTATATTCCTACCTGTTCAAATCATGACCCATTGAGTCAAAAGGTACGATAGTCAATTTGAATCTGATATATACGTATGAATTTTAAAAAATGCTTCATTGCAACATTATTTGTACATTATACATGTATGTGATCGTTTAAACGGTCTATTATCATAAAAAAATGATAAAAACCTTAATCAATTTATCTAGAACAACTATAAAACAATTACCTCCAAGATCATTTGAATGACTGAAATAGGATACTTGCTACACGAAAATTATGGTTTATGTAGCTTCTGGCAAAGGAAGTTCATGTTCAGAGAAATTTTACAGGATATCCTTTAAAAAAAATCTTAAACATACCTATTTTATTGATTTCCCGTCAATTTTGATATCGCTATTTTTTTTTTATTTTTAGTGGTTTCAAGTGGCCGTCAATGTATTTCCCTCTAACTAGCGTATTGAAAACACATTTCTACAGAAAGAAAATAAAATCAAAGCCAAAAACATTCATAAACCATTTTGAGTTCAGTCGTTCCTTATGACTATTATACGATCTCATTTTATGTTTATTTCAAAAAAGGTAAGACAGTTCTCTTTTTTTAACTCTGAGAAAATTATATCATATAAAGTTGTAAATATGGAGCTTATCTATTTAATTTTCAGCATAGGGCACCTGCCGTTTACCACAAGGAAAAATATTCAAAGGCAATGCATGAAGTGTTGGTGAACTGAAATCACTGTTGCTTGCTTAAATGGGAGAAGTTCATGCAAATAAAGTGTTCAATTAATTCATCTTGACCAAATGGAATGTTTAGAATACTTGAATTGATTATAAAATGAGTAATAAACTTTAGATTTTGATTATTGCAATTTAGTTCTGAGAGCAGATCACTCTTACTGCATAAAAATGCCACAGAATGAGAACTCTTTCGTGTGCAATGTATAGAGGGTTTTTAAAATAGATGTGCATGTAATTAATAATGAGAGTTTTTATAAATAACAAATTTGGAGTTAAAAAGTAATTTTAAATAAAAAAGATTGAGATTTATTGAACAATTTCCTATGGAAGTCTGCAACTAAAATGTATATCCGAAAAGAAATTTCCTTTTCTATCATCCAATATCACACCCCTATCCTTATCTTTCGAAAACAATATAATTATGGTACCCCAAACAAAGTCGGGAAGCATACTGATATTATTCCACCTATAATTATTTCTACAGGATTTCTCGTAGATGGCTTGGACAATCTTAATAAAACTTCAAAGTATTAAAAATCCTAAAATCTACTTGTGCATGCAACATTTAAAATTTTCAAAATGGCCACTGTTGCCATGAAAACGTAAGAGACACAACAATTTAAGCTCAGTCTTCTTAGTAAGTGTCCAGCTTATTTTTTCGAAACACTAAAGGTTATTCCTTGCATAAATTTAAAATGATTTCTACAAACAATAGGATTCTGTTGGAGTTTCTTTGATTTTTTTTTCCTCTTAAGGTATTTCCAACATGACTGCTATTGCCTGGAAACAAATTGGGTAAATTTCTGAAAATGTTGAATTTTTGCAAAATTTTGAAATGTAGTTTCTCTTTATACATTCACTTTCATGTTGCACCGTTGGGGTCAGTTCAAGTTAACAAGTAATGTTGCTTGCAGAAAATAATGTTTCTACTTATTCTTTCCATTCTGATCAGCCTCACTGAAGAAATCTAAATCATCACAGTATGGAAAACTTTAAGTACAGGTAGTACTCAGATATTCCTTAGTGTTTATTCGAGAGTAGTCCACACAGTTCACGGATAAGACCTTTTTTGGCAAACGTAATGGTCCTAGATATAATTATTGTATACCAAAGTATTTGCTATGAAAATTCAGTTCATTAGAAGTTGGTTTTGATTGTTTGAACTTAATATTTTTGTGAAAATTGCGGTCCTTAAAGGTTGCAAATAATGCGCACGGCAGCCCAGAGTTAAAATCCGAAAAGCTTTTGAAATTAAGTTTCCGGATTAAATTTGAAACAAATGTGTTCGACTCTGTAGTGTCTTTTATTTCAGATATTTGGGATAAATTGAATCAACGTTGAAATTAAATGAGTATTGTTAAATGATTAAAAGTCGATAATCTAAATGTCGAATTGAAGGCCTTAGCAAAATACTCCATTTTTACAAGTAAAAGTTATTGAATAAATTCTGCTTCATATCAATACAAAAACATCTTGTGAATAACGGAAAACAATTAGTACCCGTGGGATCAGAATGTTTTGTTTAACAAAATAAGTTTGAAAATGATCAATGACAAGGTTGGTAAATAGACGTTTTCCATTCTTACATTCTTTTTGAAAACATTCATGATATTATTTTTCATTCCTAAAACAATTTTTCATTATTATTCTGACGTTTTTAAAGTTTTGGATCTTAAAACTTTCTGAAATTCAAGGATATTGAAAGTCTTTATTAAGGAATGGCAAATAATAAGGATTTTTTTCTTTTAGATGAATGATAATACAAAAATGTTTTCATACTAATTTTTTTACACAATTACTAGATATGCAAAATTTTACTTTTTTTTTTTTACTTTAATAAATAATTTTAAAAAATACTGTAATTAAAAAATACAAACAACTGGGAAGAAAAGGGATCAAAAATAAACATGTAGAATTAGGGAAAAATGCTTTTTCTCTCATTTATTTTTCAAAAATTGATATGAAGTGCAGAAAGCTAAGAATAGAATGCCAAAATATAACAAATGTTATCCTTTTACCTGTCATATTGAGAGTTGAAGGCTATGCTGGATTTAGTACAATGCATCGTTAACTTGATGACTTACACTACAACATCGAAGAAATTATTATCATGGAAATCTATCAAAAACTCAAACCCTCAAGCACTGCCGAATTTCACCTTAAATTAGAGTATTTCATTTATAAAATATCCTTTTTAATAACAGTTATCTGTCAATCATCGGAAATTGTAAACAGTTTGCACCCGGAACGTCGATTTAGGTACGGAAGATTTTTTTATTGAGTAATTATTTCCTTATACCTGGAGCAGGCGATCT